AACAGTAGAGAACTAGCTTGATTTCAAACCCCAAGACTGACCAAAAAAAAAAAAAAGACAAAGATGTTCCCCTACTACTTCTTGCATTTTTAGTTCTGACTAGCACAGTGAGGCAATAGACAAGTAAAAATAAGTATATATGGCTTGCAAAACAAGAAATAAAAATTACCATTTGTAGATATGTATCCACGGCAGCCTGTTCTCCAGGAAGGATGATGAAATTTTTGCAAGTCTGTCCTCACAGCTCTGACTTGTTGTAGCTGGGTGATGTTAGGTGGGTTGCCTCACTTCTCTATGTCTTGATTTTTTCATTTGTACAATTTTGATGTTTCTTATTTTCAGAGTGGAAACACTGAAAAAAATCACTTATCACTTATTAATAGGATATTTTAAATATTTCACATTGATAAGATGCTGCGAAAACTGGGGTGGAAGCAAGGCTCTAGGGGCTCACACTGATAATCCGAGCTAATCAGGAAACTGAGATCTGAGGATTGGGGTTCAAAACCAGCCAGACAAGAAAGTCCGTGAGACTCTTATCTCCAATGAACTACTCAGAAAAGGCCTGAAGTGGCACTGTGTCTCAAGTGGCAGAGACTAGCCTTGAACAGAAGGTCAGAGACAGCACCCAGACCCTGAGTTCAAGACCCAGGGTTAGTGCACGCATGCGTGTGCATGGGTGCATGCGCATACACACACACACACACACACACACACACACACACAAAGTGGGGTAAACTTATAGAAGCTTTTTCCTAGTCAAATATTTCCCTGGTTAATTTAGAAATATACTGAGCCACAATAAGAAAAATTTGAAAAAGAAGTATAAAGAACAGTAATGTACATTATCAAATAAAATCTGGTATTGGAATTAAGAGAGCAAAATCAATATGTAACAACAGTATCAAAATATTGACTATATATCTGTGTACCTTCAAAAAGCACTTTGAAAATGTTTAACAAAGCCTACATTTGCAATAGTATACAAAATCAGGGATCTTGAACTAAACAATAAAAGATGTACCAAAGTTCAAGTGACAGTTATAAAGCTTTATTTACAATGTAAACTTTGTAAGCCAACAGAAAATCTTGAACACTGATTTGTAGAAGTGAGAACTTTAGTATATAGTCTGATAGCATCTGTTCTATGATCTAGTAATTCCATTCCTAGATGTATACTGTGTGTATACATGCATACCTGGAGACATAAAGCCTGGTTGTGGCAACATTTTCCATAATTATCCTAAACTGGACACAAATAGTCTAAAACAGTGGCATGGTTGATTTCTTTTAAGTTCATAAAATGGAATGTTGTAATACAACATTGATAAAGCAAAGCTATATGTAATGTTGTATCTCAGATGCACAATTCTAAGGGAAATGAGCCAGAAAAGGGAGGATGCATACAGCATTGTTCTATTTATATGAAGTTGAAAACCAAAACTACAGTATTTGGGGATCCATATTTACAGAGCAAAGTCAGAAATTAAAATAAGACATACATGGGCCAAACTGTCATTGAGCATAGCTTCCTTTGGGAGCACTGCTTGGGCAGAGACCCACAGGATTTCTGAAAGTGTTCTATTTCTTAATCTTTATGGTGGGTTGCATTGTAAGAATTTATTGAACTATGTGTTTACATTTTATGTACTTTACTGAATTTTATTTTTTTTTGTTGGTCGTAGGGCCTGAACTCTGGGCCTGAGTGCTTGTCCCTCACTCTCCAGCTCAAGGTTAGAGCCCTACCACTGAGCCACAGCACCACTTCTGGCTTTATTCTGCTTATATGGTGCTGAGGAATGGAACCCAGGGCCTCATGCATACGAGACAAGCACTCTACCACTGAGCCAACTTCTCAGCCCTTTACTGAATTTTTTTTTATCTTAGAAACTTTTAGGACATGAGCATCAATCTCAAGGTTCATTTGTGAGAATGAAAATATAAAATAATGTAGAGCTCCCAGTATGTTCCTGGCATTATATAAGACTTTGTTAAATGTTAGTTATCTAAGCACAATAGAAACTTGCTATCTTTCTTATTTGTTGTCAACCTTACTTCCTTTTCATTGTTTCTTGCTCATATTTCTGTTTGTTTTTATTTCTGATAATACTGTATTCTGAATTAGATAGTTCCTTTAGACTTTATATTATTGCTTTAATCATAGAACATGCTATTCTACTAGAGATTGAGTAAAAATATATTTTGTTATAGTTTTGAAAGGAGTTGCTGCCAGGCACTGGTGGCTCATGACTGCAATCCTAGCAAAACAAGAAGCTGAGATTTGAGCATGGTGGTTCAAAGCCAGCCCAGGCAGGAAAGTCTTATTTCCAATTAACTACTAGAAAATTGGAAGTAGCACTGTGGCTCAAAGTGTAGAGCGCTATTCTTGAGCAAAAAGAACTCAGGGACAGCACCTCAGGGACAGCACCCAGGCCCTAAATTCAAGCACCATGACTGACAAAAATAAATAAATCAATAAATAGAAGTTGCTTTTAAACATGTGATTATTTGTTTCATCAAAAATTATTTATTAGCTGGGCGCTGGTGGCTAAAATCTTCTTTTTCTGATATCCTAATCTCAGTCATAAAAGCATGTACAGTTTATGCTTAGTTAAGTTCCAAATGGGCCTGGATTTCTTAGACAGCAACCACAGTGTAAGGTCAAAAACCTGGGGTGGCCGGGCACTGGTGGCTCATGCCTGTAATCCTAGCTACTCAGGAGGCTAAGATCTGAGGATTGTGGTTCAAAGCCAGCCCTGGCAGGAAAGACCGTGAGACTCCTATCTCTAATAAACCACCAGAAAACCGAAGTGGCCCTGTAGCTAAAGTGGTAGAGCCCTGGACTTGAGCTGAATAGCTAAGGGACAGTGCTCAGGCCCAGAGTTCAAGCCCCATGACCTACAAAAAATTATTTGTTGAGGGCTGGGAAGGTGGCTCAGTGGTAGAGTGCTTGCCTCGCATTCATGAGGCCTTGGGTTTAATTCCTCAATACTACATAAGTAGAAAAAGCCAGAAGTGGAGCTGGGCTCAAGTGGTAGGGCACTGGCCTTGAGCTGAAGAGCTGAGGGACAGCACCCAGGCCCTGAGTTCAGGCCTCACGACCAACAACAAAAAGAATTATTTATTGAATTTGCATTTTTTGTCAGTCATAGAGCTTGAACTTAGGGCAAGGGTGCTATGCCTGAGCTTTTTCACTTAAGGCTATCACTCTACTACTTTGAGCCACAGTGACACTTTCAGTTTTCTGGTGGTTAATTGGAGATTAGAGTCTCATGGACTTTCCTATCCAGGCTGGCTTTGAACTGCAATCCTCAGAGCTCAGCCTCCTGAATAGCTAGGATTATATGTGGGAGCCTAGCTGAATTTACCATTTTACCTGCACGTATTTATGGGGTATGTTGGAATAATCTACTACATGCATATAATATATGCTGATCAAATCAACATGATTAGCATTTACATCATCTTAGATAACTGAAAAATGCTTTAACATAGTACTTGTACATATTTTTTAGATAAACCTATATGTCAATACATGTATATAATATGTAATGATAAATCAGTATAAATAATGCTTCCATCTCCTTGTCATTACTTTGCATTTGGATCCTTGGGGCTCCTCTCCTAGTAATTCTTAAAATATTTGTAACAGCATATTGGGAACTATAGTCACCTCCACTGTACTCTGGAAAAATAGAACTTACTGTTTTTGTCTAACTGTAGTAACAAAATACATGATTAAGGAATAATAAGCATACAATTATATAAAATCTACATTTACTTCTCAGATTTATCTGGAATTCATACTTAGTGTCATCAGAAAATTAAACTTAACTTTTTCCAATCAGGCAATAAAGATCTCCCCAGCACCTCTAAAGGAACAATTCATTTCTTCCTCTACAGACTTCTGCCACCATCTCCCTTGGCATATGCAAAATTCAGAAGCATTTGCACTATAAAGCTCAGACCTGAAACAGGGTACTTGAGCTAAACAGAATAATGTAACTCAGAAGTGAGGAGGTTATGGTTGCCAGAAAGTAGGTAGAATATCAGTCACAAGGAAAGAAAGAGTAGGTAGAAATAAGCCTCTGTCAAACAAATGTCCTTAAAAATTCCATCCTTGGAGCCAGGTGCTGGTGGCTCACTCCTGTAATCCTAGCTACTCAGGAGGCTGAGATCTGAGGATTGTGGTTCAAAACCAGCCAGGGTAGGAAAGTCTGTGAGACTCTTATTTCCAATTAACCACCAGAAAACGTGAAGTGGCGCTGTGGCTCAAGTGGTAGAGTGCTGGCCTTGAGCTGAAGAGCACAAGGACAGTGCCCAGGCCCAAAGTTCAAGCCCCACGACCGACAAAAAAAATTCCATCCTTGTGTATGACACATGACCACTTACTGCTATGACATTTGTCTCATGATGTCTATAGATTATATTTTCTTCACACATCATCTCCATATAAAACCACTTCAAGGAGTGCTGTGCATATAAGAACTAACACAAATAAAGGACATAGATTTTGAGGCTCCTTTAGTCCCATGTTTCATCCTTGGTTCCACAGCTAAATACCTACATAGTCGTTTGTAAATTTCCTAACTTTCTAGCATTTTACCTCCTCTGAAATGTGTATAGATTAATAGTAATTAGCTGTAGGTTCGAAATTGTACTAGCTTTCCATTGCCATAACAAAATACTTGAAAGAACACATTTATAGGAGGAAAGGTTTATTTGGCTCATTGTTTGGTCCCAATATTCCTATCAAGGGTGTATACCCAATGACCTAACTTCAATCTACTAGCCCCCACATCCTAAAAATTTTACTACCTCCCAATAGCTGGTGGCCAAGACTTTAGCCTCTATAGGATATTTAAAATCTAAACCATAACAAATCCCTATCTAAATGAGTTTCTATGGAGCTAATTCATTTAAAAGTCCAGCATGGTACTTAATGACCTTTAAGCGAATCACAATTGTCATGATTTAAAATTTTATCTCTCTTATGTTAGGATTAAGAAAGAAGATTCAGCAGAGGAGACTGGGAAAAAAACTGGGACAGAGAAATGCATAAGACTGATGTCATGGAAAGAAGAGAATATATCATCAAGGAGGAAGATAATGCAAAAGAAGGTCACTCAAAGGCTAGCTTCTCCTGACAAGGCAAAAGATTAATTTGTACCTCTTAGGGACTGAAGTGAAAAAGAAAAAAAAAGTAATTTTGAATGAAGGCTATCAGACCCAACATCTCCTAAAAAGCCTTTCACTTAATCACATTTGTGAGCCTAAGACTTCTGTGTCTTCCTTTGAAAGGAGGGACATATTTTTGGTTGTTCACTTTTGAGACAGGGTCTTGCTATATAGGCCAGGTTGGCTTTGAATTTGTGGTCCTGCCTCAGCATGTTGCATGGACCATAGTGCTACCTGGCTGGTATGTATCTTGAATAAAGGAAAATCTAGTGTCACACAAAGTGAAATAGAAAGTACAGTGTATCAACTTTGTCTGGGTCAGTGGCTCACAGCTGTCATCCTAGCTACTCAGGAGGCTGAGATCTGAGGATCATGGTTCAAAGCCAGCTCAGGCAGGAAAGCTTGAGACACTCTGATCTCCAATTAATCACCAAAAACCCAGAAGTGGAGCTGTGGCTCAAGTGTGAGAGTGCTAGCCTTGAGCACAAAGCCCTAGGGACAGCAACCAAGCCCTGATTTCAAGCCCCAGGACTGGTACAATAAAAGAGGGGAAAAGGAAGGATAAGCTTTGCATCATTTTTGGTGAAATAAATACAGAGCTTCAAGGCTGTACAACAGGACAAGGAATAAAAGGGGATGAAATAGAGTAGCAATGCTGTGATTTATACTGAACCTCAGAGTTAACTCCAAGGAAAACGAGGGTAGTGGTAAGTATGGAACTTGTTTCTTTTTTACTTTATCTCATTTTGAAAGAAATCATGACAGCATAAACTGTAAATCTGGGTAAATAACTTAACATTTGAAGGGTAAATGTAAGAAAAGGTGACCAGGAAAAGCAGGAAGTGGAATAATACTCTAATCTGACATAGATGATCTAATAGTATTTTTCTTTTTCTTTTCTTTTCTTTCTTTTTTTTCTTTTGGTCAGTCATGGGGCTTGAACTCTGGGGCTGGGTACTGACCCTTAGCGCTTCAGCTCAAGGCTAGCACTCTACCACTTGAGCCACAGCACATTTCCAATTTTCTGGTGGCTTATTGGAGGTAAGAGTCTCACAGGCTTTCCTGTCCAGGCTGGCTTCAAAGCATGATCTTCAGATCTCAGCTTCCTGAGTATCTACGATTACAGGTGTGAGCCACCAGTGCCTGACATGTAATGGTATTTTTAAGGGCAGATGGGGTGGGGTGAGTAGAAATAAAGTAGTACACACAATCCTGTGGATTTGCTGGTCCTGGAGGTGCCTCCTGACTGGCATGGGGGAGGGACACTTTAACTCTGGAGGGATGGAAGTGGCTGCCAGAGTTGCTCCAGAGAGATGCTGGCAGTGAGACTATTAAGCCTTTGCCTCTGTCAGTTCTCAACTAAAAGTCCTGGGTTTGAGGCCTGCAGGCAGGCCATCCCAGTCTTCTTCAGTCTTGAGGGTTACTCAGTAGGGGCAACTTGGAGGATATGTGGTACTGGGCAGGACACAGGAAACTGAGCCTCTTCATCTCCATTAACAGATGAATGTTGGCTCCAGGGGAAAGGACAGTTGTAGGTGACATCATGTGATAGGGATGGAACAGGACAAGAGACCAGGGGGGAAGCATTGCTGAGGAGGGCAATTCTGGAAGAAGCACTCACTCCAAGGCAGGCTGTGGGTATGGCAACCCAGAGAGGCTGCAGTAGGGCCTTAGCCTGCACCCTCTTCTCCCCCACTGTGTAAGCCATAGTCTGCTAATGTGGATTCCCAACACCAACCCACCCCAGACCACATAGCTCAAGATTGTGTGTAAAACCTGTGCTGTACAATTCCTACCAGCCTTTCTGTCGCTGTCAGTGTAGACCTGTGCTGATCATGTCCTCTCCCTTTCCTCCTCTCCCCTACGACAGCTGGATGCTTCCTCTCCCACACACAGCAGCTCCCACTGCTGCACACTTTGTCTCCTCAGTCCAGGGAAGGAAGCACCAATGTTTCAGGAAAAACCCTCCAATCTTCAGTGTTCATTTCACTCTGTTCCAAACCTTAAATGAAAGCATCCCCACCCCTTTGTCAGTCTTTTCTGTTTATCACAGGAACTAATGAACCTATAAGGAACTAGTATAGCTCAGGGACAAAACTCAGATGTCATCACTCTCTGATCTCTGGACAACAGATGAGGTGCCTTTCCTAGTGTGAATCAGAATGAACTCTTTATTCGTGTGTGTGTGTGTGTGTGTGTGTGTGTCCCTGTCCATACTATGGATTGAGCTCAAGGCCTCCTTCTTGCTTGACTTGCTTTCTCAGCTGGCACTCTGCAACTGGAGACATGCTTCTAGGTTGTCTTTTTGCTGGTTAATTGGAGATGGAGTAGCCAAGACTTTTCTGCCTAGGCTGGCTTTGAACACAATCATCTAAACCTCAGCCTTCTGAATACCTGGGATTATGGGCCACTGGAGTCTGACTCACTATTCTATTTTTGTTGCCCTCCCCACTTGTCATTTGAGAGCACTAGAGCATTATTAATCAGTAGGTGCAAATAGTGGCTCTATAATCTAGGAGACAGGTCAGTGTGACAAGAGGCTCTTGGAGAGATTCAGCCCCTTTCAGTGCTCATCTATATAACAGTTGTTTCAAATCCCCAAACCCTACCCCACTGTATAATATCCCCATTATAGTTTTTACAATTAATTTTCCTTTATCTTTCTAAAAAGAACAACACACAGTCGTTAAATGAGATGCTTATATATATATATTCATTGACTTCGAAGTCTACAAGATATATTATTTGATCAAATAAGACTATATAGAACAACACTTATATTTGATCACTTTTATCTGCACATATATCCACTGAGTATACAGATACAGGGAAATATCTAGAAGGGCATTCACCAAAGGACTGACAATGCTTATATGAGGGTCATTTTCAGGGAATTTATAGTTCAGTTATTGTATTTTTCTTGATGTGTTTAACACAGGAACACAGGTGAACAGAATATAGAATAAAAACTTTGAAGAAAGACACAGAGAAAAGACCATTAAGCAAGCAGAGAAGGAAACAAGGAAAGTGGTCAAACCATCACCCTTCATTGTGCTGGTATATAACACTGATTTTTCCCCTCATGGAAAAGTGCTTTATGATGAATTCATTCAGTAAGAACCCCACCCCCATTCTTATTTTCCACAGCCTCAGACTCTGAATACAGTTAAGGGTTCATTTAGGGCTTGGAGGTAGCATCTTATTGTGACCCTGAGAGGCCATTGTGTTCTCTAGGGACTTCTTTTGATGTCTCCTCTGTATGTGACAGCTCCTGTAGTGTGATCATCACTGTTGCAAAAACCTGTGCCTTGTTCTCATTGTCACAGGGTTCTTTAGAGTGGTGCTCCTGGCCACAAAGGGAATAGGGGATTGTGTGTTTGCGCTTCCTGCCTCTGTGCATATCCTCAGGACTATTATTTTTATTTGTCCAACCAGTAGAAGGAGACTGAGCTCTGGAATGGTTAGGGGAATCAATGACCAGCAATTGGTCCTGAGATGTAGCCCTCCCTCTGAGGGGTGGTGCATTTGAGGAGAGTGGAGGGTCCCCAGATTCCACTAGAATCACATCTTCATCTAAGTCATCCAGGGTATCATCTATCTCTATCACATTGGAGTCAGCACTGCTGATTGTCATTGGCTGGAACTCCTGAAATACCACAGGACTGGTTGCTCGCTCCATTATTGGCTCAGATCTCTTGGGCCGCTTCCGTCTAATAAAACTGTCATCCCAATCCTCTTCTTCTCTTATCATCCTGATTACTTCCAGAAAACTGGGAAGGCTCTCTGGCTCATTTGCATACATTCTGAGGAGCCGCTTAAACCTGTTTTGCAGGTTCCTACTCAACTCAGCCCCTACAAGGAGCTGGTGCAGGCGAGTCTGGTTTGCATCTCTCTCTGCTAGGACACCTGCCTGCATAGCATTCTGGAGCTGTACCTCTAAACGGATCACATAAAGGGAGGCTTTCTCCCCTTGAGCCTGCAGTGTGTTAAAAAATGTACCATGAGCAGTCATGCTGCTCTCAGACTCCCCAAACACCAGTTTCATTGCTCGCAAAAAATCTGCCACACTTAGACTGGGGTTGGCAGCCTGGAGCAAACGCATGACCTCGCGGGCAGGACCCCTGAGGGTTTTCATCAGGAGGGTCAACTTTTGTTCTTCAGGTATATTCCAATCTGGCAGGACCCCATTCACTTGGGTTAACCAGTTTTCAAATGTTTCTTCCCCCTGAGCTGGCGCCACCCTTCCAGAGAAGAATTTCACATTTCTTTCTACTATGTTGGACATTAAAGGAGCAAGACTCACACCTAGGGACCTCAATAGGGAACAGGCCCAGGGTGGCAAGGGTGCATTCTGCTGCTGGCTGTTACGCACTCGTGCAAGGATACTTGCCATGATTGAAGATGATAGAGTATCTGCTGGCTTTTAAGGGGGGAAAAAGCCTAACCTGCAGGAATCTCCAAAGCAAGGTTCCTGGGCTATATCTTCCTTGTATTTCAGTAGGGCCTGTAAATGGAGAGGAAAAGATCAATCAAGTAACAGAATGGAGCTGAGGGGAACCAATCTGCATTTTCCACCTTTTTGAGTACACTGCAAAATAGTCTACATTTGCACTGTCTCCTAAAAATTCTGAGAAATTCTAGCAACAAGGCAGGGCATTTTTCAGAGCCTTATCTACACCACCCTCAACCTTCTCCCTCACCTCCACCTGTTCTCCAGAAGGGGTAACAACTGTTGGTTAGAATTCTAGATGAAATAGTGTTTGGAGCAGATATTAAGCCCTCAAAATAGACCATGATAGTCTACATTTCACATATTAATGTCTACTTTTATTTTTATTTTATTTTTTGCCTGTCGGGGGGCCTGAACTCTGGGCCTGGGTGCTGTCCCTCAGCTCTTCAGCTCAAGGCTAGCTCTCTACCACTTGAGCCACAGAGTCACTTTTGGCTTCTTCTGCTTATGTGGTGCTGAGGAATCGAACCCAGGGCCTCATGCATGCAGTGCAAGCCCTCTACCACTGAGCCACCTTCCCAGCCCACATATTAATGTTTATTAGTATTATGTGTATAATACTAATAACATGTCTATGAACCTCAAGGTTTTAGGTGGCAACACCCCTCTTCCATGTACCTTCTCAGAAGTTTCCTGCTATTTTTCAGATTCTTATGAGAGCTAGGAAAATCGTCTTCGTTTGTGGTCCAGCCTCTGAAACAGGTACCTAGGTGAGAGCTCACGTCATGGGTATGGATGATCTCTCAAGTCCACAGCCGGTAGCAGATCCAGATACTCAACGCATTTGGGACTGCGTCACAACCCAGGGAATGGGAGAGGAAGAAATGTCAGAAGCAGACTCTCATGTCATCTTGCTAACCCTCTTCACTGTTTCCAGGAGGAAAAATTCCTTTCCCCATCCTTGAAACAGAAGCCCAAATCTCCTTCCTCTGTGCCCCTCCAACCTCTGCCATCTATCACATACCTTCACCCAGAGCAATGATCAGTCTACCAGCTTGTCAATTTGCCTCACAAAATTCAAATTCGGAATCTTTGATGGGCTGCCATAGAGAAAAGGAACGAAAGTTGGATGTATGCCTTCCATTTCATTTCTTCACAGGAAATGAGATGTAAGGGGGTTCAAGACAGACATCTTGCCAATTCTCATCCTTGCTTTTTGCTATCTTCCTGAAAACGCCCTCTCCCTAAGTGCAAACAAATCATACCAATGGGTAGTAGCATGCAGATGAACCCAACCTCCTCCCTCAGTTTAACAAGCCATTTCTTTACCTGTGCTCTGCGGGTTGCCAGCAGATGCTCAGGCCTCGCTGACAACTCTGTTTTGCCTTCCGGTCTCTGGGGCCCTGCAGGGGAAATGGATGGCGCCTCCTCAGCCGCTAAAAACCAGGGGCAGCCCAACCAAGCGAGCTGCTACGCTAGCCCGCCCAGCAAGGGGTAGCAGAATCCAGGCAGCGGTTTCCAAGGCAGCCGCGGCTGCCCCCGCCCTCCAGTTCCGCTTGCCCAGCGGCTGCTGCTCTTTCCAGCCTCTTCCCATTGAGACAAAAGAGCTTGACGAGAGGGGCGGCGTGGCCAATCAGCGGGGCGCAGGGCCGGCCTCCCCGCACAGCCTTGTCCCTGATGCTAATGCCTGCGAGAAGGGGGAGCCTACTGGTGGGGGCTGCGACAGAGCGGCGCGGGAGCCGGTGGCGCGGCGTCGTCAAGTGCAGCTCAGACGCACGGACCGAGGCCCATATACATTTCACCCGTGAGTTTGCTGCTCCCTTCGCTTCCCTTCTATAGCCATCCGCCTCGGCTCTCCTCCACGCTTTGAGATCGGATGCCTTAAACACGAGGTGGGGCAGAAAGCAAGTGAACAATGAGAGTTCTTCACCTTTGTATGGGGGGAAGGGGGGGAGACATTGAATATCTCTTTCAAGGGTGCAAGTGCACTCGCACGGACATCACATTTATTCTTATCATCCTTGTGAAGAAGCGATGTGCCCATTTAACAGAGAGGGAGGTGTAGGCACCTAGGCAGTATGATTAGGAAGTGCAGAGCTAAACGCTCACACGCAGGTCATCATGTATTAACTTCAAAGGCTGCTCCTTTTAAACACTACTCTCCACCATCAGATTAAGGGTTAGTGGAGAAAACCCAGTGATGGGGATGAGAGGACCAACTTGGAGCTATATTGAACTAGCGAGCAGGGGTTACTACGATCTCCATTTTACGGTTGAAGAAACGGAGCCACAGAAAGTTTAGGGCATCATGCACTGTATCTTATAGCAAATTGGAAACCAATCACTTTTGCACCCCAGCCTAATACATGGCCGGGAGAGCATTTTTATATAAGAAGTCTCAGACCATTTGAACAGCAGTCTTTTTGGGATGGTAGTGCTAGGGGTCGTGGGGTTGTGAAGACACTGGGCACAGAGTGACAGAAGAGGATGGTACTCTTTGAGTACATTCATTGTACAGGAAAAAAACCCGAGGCAATTTGCTTTCACTTTTTGTTAACACAAGTTTCACAGGGCAACAAACTTCCTGTTGATAAACAAAATAATGTTACTTCTTGGGGGAGGGGAGTGGAGGTGTGGCTCAAGTGGTACAGTGCCTGCCTTACAGGGCTAGAGACCCTGCATTCCATCTCCACTACCATGAAAAACAAGTAAGCAAACAAAACCCCACCAAACAAAACAAAAATATTTTTATACCCCTTATGATCCTAAAGGAGCTAAGAATCAGAAGAAAATGACTCACCTAGAGTTAGAATGTGAAGGCACACTTTGGAACGAGACACTGCATACAAAACTTATGCTGTTATCCAAAGTCTTGGTTCCAGCACAGCTGTTTGGAAAATCTTGCTTGAAATGCGATTCCTGGGCTCCACCTCTGGGGACTTGATTGACAAGGAGTAGGGGTCAGAAGTGTGATTCAAATCTTAACTGTTGCTTTAGTTGATTCTCAAGTGTAAGGAGGATTGTAGACCACTGTCAAGCTGAAGGGCTTGAATCTGTACATAATGTATCTGTCATGAAACTTAATTCCACAGCAGAGGTGCTTGCCTAGGGTTCTTCCTCAAACTCTATTCAGACAAATTGAACTTTGTGCATTTTTCTGAAGATTTTTCAAATGGCTCTATGGCCCTCAGATAGTTAAGAACAGCTACTTTATCACCCTTTTTCCTAACACCTTCCTCCTTGCAACTCCTGCTTGAGGAGGAAATGGGAGAAATAGAACTCTATTTGACTGAACACCCACATCACAGCTCTGCCACTGATAGAGTTCTTTCATTTCCTGGCTGAAGGATAGGTTGCTAGGTTGCCCTTCTGTGAGCTCTTCAGGGGACTTCTACTTTGCTGGATTTGGCATCACAGGCCTCAGAGAAGGAGCAACTCCATGGAAACGGCATGCAGGGCTGTCCAGAATGAATGGGCCATGAAGCAGGGGCTAAGAAACCTGCTCCATTTTCCCTGACATCTGGTTCTTAGAGAGCAGGTATTACTTCCCTAATGTACACTGTGGCTAGCAGGGTCCTGTGGGGTTTGTTCTTGTTTCCTGATGCTTGGACACAAGTGAGCAGCCTGATGCTCTTGAACTACTGTTGGCTTCATTTTCTGCCTGCTGGAGTATGTTGCCTTTCTTTCCTACTTTCTTATTTACAAGCCCAGTATGGAAGATTCCTTGGAGTCAACAATGCAGTTTTGAAGAGGATGCACCTTTCATCTCAGTGTTGGGCCTTTCCTCTTGGAGATGGAACCCTTGGGCCTTGGTACTGGAAGGTGCAATGTTGGAGGCAGTAAGAAGGCAGGATGCTTACCCTGCAGTCAGGGGTGAGGTTGCCACTAATTGCTGGGTTTACTTCACAATCTTCCTTCTGTTTCTCAGCACCATGCCATCAGACCCTGACTTCTCCTTTTCACACACCCTTGTTCCATGTTTTTATTGGCTCCCTCACCTAATGAGATATCTGCACTTGGGGATGGGACCAAAAATAGACCTCATAAAAATAATAAAAGAAAATAGATTTGTAAAAACAAGCGCACGAGTTGGGCCAGTAGAACAAAGCAAGAGTCCCTTAGAGCAGAGGTGGGAGAAACATGTGCAAATTTATCAGGTGGCTCCAAATGGATACAGGGCATCCCTTATCTCTGGCCTTCAATGTGGGAGTATGCTCTAAATGATGCTTCCAAAGTGAACACATTTTCTACTTTCAACAAATAAGTCTTTAAAGCCTGAAGGTTAGGAGACGAAGACTTCAGATGAAACAGTATTAGCCACTTTTGGCTGCTTGCCTCTGCTGTGCCAGGAATTTTCCATCTGCTATCGCATTTCAGCTTCCCAGCAATCCTTCCCAGACAGGCATCATTATCCCATTTTGCATAGAGAAAAATTGAGTTTTAGGAAGGTTAAGTAATTTGTGTATGGCCATAAAAACTTGCAGGTGGAACTCCTAGGACTCCAGCCCAGGGACTGTCAAAGTGCAGTGGCTATGAAAACTCTTCTTTACTGTTTTACAAACAACTTAAAGTGTATTCTGGAAGGCTTGGAATATAACTCAGTTGTAGAGCAATTGTACAGCATAGATGATGCCTTGGGTTTGATCCTCAACATTACAAAAGGAAAGGAAAGGAAGAGAAGGGAAGGGAAAGAAGGGGAGGGGAAAAATCATTCTGCAGATGACCCCTGCTTTAGATCAATGGAAGCCTTTGGATTTGTTTAGTTGTAATCGTATCCTAATTGCTGTTTCATTTTTGGAAAGTGAAACTATGAACATAATCTAGGGAACAATTTATATATGTCCCAGATATTATGTGATTTACCTCATGCAACCTTCACGACTATCATTTTACAAGATCATAAAGCTAGGATGTAGTGCAACAAAATTCAAACTTAGAGCTGTCTGACTCCAAAATTCCTGTCCCCTGCAACTTACAAATGTGGCTGTCTTTCCATATAGTATGCCTACCTCCTTTCACAGTGCATTGCCAGTCCCCTCCCACAGCACTTTCTAGCCTCCATCTCAGGCCTCTTCCACCTAGAATGTCTACTCCCACTCTTTCACCTAACAAGAATATTTTCATTGTTTAAGGACTGTGTCAGATATTCTTCCTCAGAAAGTTTATTCATTAATTGGTACACACTAAGTGTACATATTAATTAGATTCAGTATGTTTTCATATGTACATACACCATGTATCACATTCAGCTACCTTTCTGCTACATTCTTCCTACCCTTCCTCTTCACTGCTATTCTACTATCACGTGGACTTAAAAAAATTCTTCCACATATAATGAAGGATGTCCTGTATTTACCATTCTAAGTCTGGCTAACTTCACGTGACATAGTGTTTTCCAGTTTCATATATTTTGCTTCAAGATTTCACTCTTCTTTATGGCTGAATACTACTCCATTATATTAATGTATGTATCACATTTTCTTTGTCCATTCATCAGTTGATAAGCACCTAGGCTGATTCCATAGCTTTGTCAATGTAATAGTGCTACCTGCAATAAACTTGGGCTTATAGGTATCTCTCTGGTATGCTTATTTAATTTCATCTGGATATATACCCAGGTGTGGGCTAGATAGATCATGTAATAGGATTTTATTGGGTGGTATATGGGTTTGAACTAAGAGTCTCCATCTTATTAGTCTCGGCTCTATCACTGAACCATAACTCCTACCCTATGTTTTGCTGGATAGAATATTTATTTTTCAGTAGAATCTCGCTTCCTACCTGGGTGCATACCTAGACTGCAGTCTATCTACTTTGTTTCTCATTATTATTAGGAGTACAGGTACACACCACCACATCTTCATGAAGATGATGGCTCTGTGACTTTTCTGCCTGGCTGGCTTTGAAACATGATCCTCCAATTCTTAACTTCCCCAATAGCTAGGATTACGGGTGTGAACTTTTGATATCCAGCTATTATTTGGGTTCATTCATACTAATTTCCATAGCAAATGTACTAATTTACATCACCACCAACAAGTAGTGGGGTTCCTTTTCTACCAAATCCTTGATAACACTGAGTGTTTTTTTTTTCTGTCCCAGGTAATATACATTGCACTTGTCTTTCTGCTTTAATCCTCGTTATTGCACCCTTTATTTATTTATTTTTGGGTCTGGTCGTGGGGCCTGAACTCTGGGCCTGGGTGCTGTCCCTCAGCTCTTCAGCCACTTGAGCCACAGCGCCACTTCTGGCTTTTTAAATTTCTGCTTATGTGGTGCTGGGGAATCGAACCCAGGGCCTCATGCATGCAAGGCAAGCGCTCTACCACTGAGCCACCTTCCCAGCCCAACACCCTTTATTTTTGTCTTTATTGCTGAACTGTCTCCTCCACTATGTTCCCAAGCATTTGACCAAGTACAGGTGTGAATTCCTTTACATCTCTTGCTCCACTGGGATTTACCCATAAGGATGTAGTAGCTGAACAATGTGTATTTGTGAGCTGACCAAATGTACATACAAATGT